CGGTTTTAATTTTCACTTTATTATTGTCGATGATCCAGGAGTGGATCTAGGTTTTCTCATTCTACTAATATTGGTAAAAAGTATTGGAGATCAGAACCCCATGATCATAAAGCAGTCTTAAATCTTATGTCAAAATTCGTCACTTTTTTAAATAAATGACGAAAGAAGCCAAATAAATTTTTAGGTATTTCTTATTTTAAAAAATTGTTTTCCTTTCACGCTGTGTATTTTAATTTGAAGTGACGATTAAGAATTAGTTTCTAATAAATGTTCAATTTACATGTTTAAGGAATGACCAGAATCATCGTCGCAAACCACATGCACCCACAAGTGACTCTCCTTTCATAATTCTAAGACAGATGGACTATTTACAGAATTACATGTACATAAAAGTATATGGTTCTGGTACAATCCTCTTTAAGGTCAAGATCTAGTAAATAACTTGAGAGACCAGAGACATATATGTCTTTCAGAATTATGTAGAAAATAGGGTATTTTATGTCATTCAATTTGAAATCCATGGGATACCTACATTAGATTTTATATTGATTTAAAGAAGAGGCCATGAACATACTAATTTCCGTTTTCTGAGAGAGTAGCCGGATACACCGTAGCTCAGTTGAAATGATGAGTACCTATAAATTATAAAGCTGTTTCATGATATCCAGGTTTGATAAATCTGTAGGCACCTTTCTCAGACTGTTGGAATTGCGTTTATTGTCTCAATTCCATGGACCGTAGCTGAGTTGAAATGATGTGCTTATTTCAGACGACGATATTCCTTGTCGATATTAGCTAGGATTTTTTGAAAATAAATTTTATTTTTAAAAAATCCTACTGAAAAGATGAAATCTCTTTCTGTGGCTTTCATCTTGGCATTTAGATATATCGACGACGTTTATATCTTATAACAATATATTTACATGTATTTTCTTTCAGTTTTTCCAGCGCCGTCACCTTTTCTCTCCCCCCCCCCTTTTTTTAGAATTCCTACATAACCTGTGTGTGTATGGTAAATTATATCTCCCAACTGATTTTAATTAATAGAATTTTTTGCGATTGACAAAGAAATAGTTAATAAAATTTGCTGTTTGTAACGATGGGCAATGCCATTGTATTATTTTTTTTTACATGTTTGAAAACTTGATTTTTAAAACGTGACTATATATATGGTGTCTGCACGCTAATCGTCGTGTACAGTTAATAATTCAGAAATCTTGAAAAAAGGACAAAAATAGTTGAGGTTAGGTTAGGTAGGGTCTGTAGGGTTTCATGGAACATTTTTCGACTAACTTTAGCTGTATACCTTTTTACAAGAGATGTAATATCCCATAACCAAAAAAAAAAAAATGACCAACGCAAAGAAATTTAATAGGCCACCAATAAATATAGTTCAGCAAAAAAGAAGTATACCTATGCTGGTGCTTTCAATAAGAAAATCAACGGTAACTTGGAATTTTCTGATTCTAATGAGGCGCTGTGTAATGGTCTTGATTTCCCATTATCACCCTCTGGGTTCATGTAATGTTTGTTTGAAGAAGGGGAACACGCTGAATAATGGAGGGGGATAAGTAACCAGGTGATGCCTCGCTCTACCTGATCGCCACGGTAAACGGAGGCAGGAATTGTACGCAACCAGCAGGACCCCGGGCACAAATTTGTTATATAGGTTACTAAACCTGAAATCAGGCAATCCAGTGCTTAACTCTATTCCTTTATCCAGCTAATGGTTAATGATAACTAAAATATTAAATTTCCAGAATGCAAGGAAATTTTTAGCACGATTAACCAAAAAACGCGACAGTCAACTGGTACATTTTTGGATCCTATATAAAATAATTTAGAAAGAGAGATTGAAGAATTGGCGAATTCTTAAGAATAAACAAAAATTTAATCATCTTTCAAATTTTCAAACGTAAATAATTGTTAACCTTATTACTTTGTTCAACACAGTAAACATTTCTTGTAGCATATAATTAATTTCTCAGACGAAATCTGAAACTTAAATAAGCGTGAGCTAGAAACATTTAATATCTTGATTTGTGTGGCATTTGTAGACATTTTCATTAAAGTGGTACGTACCTGTGTTTGGTACCAAAACTCTACTAGAACAATTCGATTTTTTCCCAATCTAAAGGAGTATTTCTAACAATTATTTTTCCTTTATTTGAAAATTATGACTATTAATACGACAGAAGCATTAAAATTAGATTTACAATTTATTCAACTTTTACAACAATATTGCTGAAACATGCACATTATAACTGATACAAGTGTACACTATGACTTTTCTCGAAAAAGGTAAAAGAAAGTAAAAGAACAAAATATATTAATAAAGTACCATCTTTTTAAAGCTTTCACATAATTTTGTATACTTCTCTAGTACAATTTGACGTTAAACAAAACCATGCACAATGCCCGTCCGAGTATTGACTCCGACATAAGTCGTTTTTGCCTGATTTCGCATATATTCTTTATTTTTTACTGGCTGTTGAAACACTTGTGCCATATCAATGGATTACCACACAGGCTTGTTAAATTGTGCATAGAAGATCTGCACCTTTCGTACAAAATCGTCATCCATCCACGCTTACTTCGGGTCTGTGCAAGGTTACCGACAGAATACCACACAGCGCCATATGCCAATTAAACGTTAGCTCAATCAATTTGTGGTTTAAAGCCTCAGCCTCTCTTACAATGGGGAGATTTTCTCCAATCTACACTGTGTCATTGTACTGTTAATCCGTCCATTTTCCTTTGCATTCGGTTGCTTTGACCTCAACAGGGTGTCGCAATTACTAAAAAGACCCCTCGGGTACCTCTGGGCTTTAATTTAAGGAGGTACAGTAATTACTGACCAGGTTAAAGATACTGTGTGAAAATCTGTGTCCAAGAATCTAAGATGTATGATTAGTCTCAGTGACTACAAAGTAGGTTTTGTTTGAAAGAGGTTCTCCGTGAAATGTTTAAAGACAGGGTCCGCCACTTTTTCGCCCGCCTTAAATATCAATTCAAATCATTAAAACACAAAATTTATTCTGAAGCCGAAACGGCATTGGAACAGATTTTTCATGTTCTAATCACATGCAAATTAAATTTGGTGAGCTTGCTTTAAAAAATTGAAAGCAAATTATGGTAATGGACACGGTTAAGTGATTGATGATTGAGAAAGAAAAGTCTATATTGCAAACAGCAATGCAACCGAGTTAGTGTGGACATTAACCCTGGAAACGAGGAAGTTTGCTGAATCAGGGCCTGAGCTTGAATGGAATTACTCTTATTTACTCACACCATAGTAAACGCTCGGCTCGGGACATTTCATCTCTAACTCAAAGTTTACAGTAGATAGCATTAAAGGAAAAGTGTTAGAACAAAATTTTTTTTTTTCACTTTCGTTAATTTATGGAAAGTTTGTTACGAAGTATACCTGTGAGTTTGGACTTAAGCCATTATTGGTGTCAAAGTTCGAAAATCTTACTATGAAAGTTCTGGGATTCGTTTGTATCTGTGCTTTAGAATTTATCTTTGCAAGTGCGAGTCAAAATCAGAAAGACGAGAATGAGCATCTAAGGATACAAAATAGGAAAACAGGTAAATTGTATAGATATAGAAAATGTTCTCCATTCATTTAGTAGATGCGTGTTAGAAAAAGGTTGTATTATGGTGGCATATTTCTGCCCCATATCAAAAATGCAAGATAATATGTTGACATGCAACAAAGCTATGTCAACATGCAACATAAATATGTTGACATGCAAGAAAATTGCAATAAAATAAAATTCATAAAAATCTTCATAAATCTCAAATATTGCCCACAAGTGACATCCAACATGCTAAATGCTACTTATTTATGTTAACATGCAAGATAAATATGTTGACATGCAACTTAATGTTGACATGCAACTTATTCACATGCAACTTATATATGTTAACAGCAACTTATTTATGTTAACATGCAACTTATTTATGTCAACATGCAACTTGGTTATGTTGACATGCGAGATAAATATGTTGACATGCAACTTAAAAGTTGTAAATATGTTGCATGTTTACATAAATAAGTTGCATGTCAACATTTTTATCTCGCATGCCAACATAACTAAGTTGCATGCCAACATAAATAAGTTGCATGTCGACATAAATATGTCGCATGTTTACATAAATAAGTTGCTTGTCAACATATTAATCTTGCATGTCAACATAACTAAGTTGCATGTCAGCATAAATAAGTTGCATGTCAACATAAATAAGTTGCATGTCAACATATTTATCTTGCACGTTAACATAGATAAGTAGCATCTAGCATGTTAGAAGTCACATGTGGGCGATATTTGAGATTTTTGAAGATTTTTTTTATAATACTTATTTGATTGCAATTTTCTTGCATGTCAACATATTTATGTTGCATGTTAACATAACTATCTTGCGTGTCAACATATTTATCTTGCATGTCGACATATTTGATAGAAAAATAACTTGCACACAAGGGGCAGAAATATGCCACCATATTGTATAACTAAAAGTTGTTACAAAACAAGAGATCTTATTTCAAAACAACTCGGAGTAGAAGGTGTAATTATTGAAAAATTGTCAATTTTCTATACACAAGAGTTTCTATACACTTTTCATATATACACTTGTCCTTTCATATATTTCAGAATGATTTTTTTTTCATATTGTTACGTTCAAGTAGAATAATTCGCTTGCTTCGAATTCTTTCAGCAACTTTATTAAAAAGAATAGGACATTATGAGATGGTAATTCCAACCTTGGTGGATGAGAAGGGAAGGTTCCTGAGCTACAATGTGTTCCATGAAAGCAGACAGAATCAAACGGGACGATCGCGGAGAGATCTTAGCAGGGGAGCCAACCCATCACCGGTCTTCTACAGAATATCAGCTTTTGGACAAGAATTCCATTTTAAACTAGAAATAAATCGGGATCTGTTTTCCAGAACATTTTATGTTGGCGCCCTGGGAGACCAAGGGGAGGAACTCGCGATGGATACAAAGCTTAACTGCCATTACGTGGGCTACAGTAGTGAACCACACGTCTCTACAGCAGCCATGAGCAACTGCTTTGGTTTGGTAATAACTAATAAGACAAGCATTAGTATATAATCTTGTGTAAAGATTGATCGATTTACATATGATGTTAATGAATGTCCTTCTTGTTCCAACAAAGAAGACTATTTTAGTTCATTGAAAGTTCGCCCAACTTTGTGTTGTAGTACCCGGTATATACTCAAATAAGGGTAATGTAGTTTTTAGTAAGAAAAAATGGTACCGAAAGGAGTGGGAAACACTCACTCGTCCCCAATAGGATCTTCGAGTTTGGACAACTTTACTTAATCCTTTATTTTTTAGCTCACCTGAACCGAAGGCTCAAGTAAGTTTTTCATAGGAATATATGATCAAAAATTGTCCGTTGTCTGTCGTTGTCGTCTATGGCGTTGTCGTCGTTGTCTTAAACTTGTCACATTTTCATCTTCTTCTCAAAAACCACTGGGCCAATGTCAACCAAATTTGCCACAAAGTATCCTTGGGTGAAAGGGATTCAAGTTGGGCCACGCACTCATCAAATGGGAGGTAATTATGAATAAGTGAAAAATTAATGGCATTAAAAAACACTTCTTCTCAAGAAACACTGGACCAGGTGAGATGAAATTCATGTGGAATCAACTTTAGGTAGTGTAGATTCAAGTTTGTTCAATTCATGACCCTTAGAGGTGGGGGTAGGAGTACAATGACTGATCAAAATTTTACATAGGAATGTAAAGGAATTAAAAAAAAAATCTTCTCAAGAACAGAAAAGCTGTGATAGGTGATATTCCTAGGTAGTACAAATTCAATTTTGTTCATATCATGACTCCTAGGGTAGGGTGGGCCATAATTGGCAATCAAAGTTTTTTTTACATAGAAATATATAGGAAACATCTTGAAAAAATCTTCTTCTAAAGAACAGCAAAGCCATGATTGGCGATACATGTATTTATACCGGTATGGTTCCAAGCATCCTCGGGCTCAGGTAGTCAGGTATTGTTCAAATTAGAACGGGACACAATGAGGGATCATTTTTTACATAGGAATATATACTAAAATATCTTTAAAAATTTTGTGGGTAGCAGGTGGTTTAGGCTTCAGGTTTGTTCAAATTGTGACCCCCGGGCTTGGATGTGGCCACAATGAGGGCATAAGAATATATAGGAAGAAATCTCAAGAACATAAAAGTTGAGCTAGCGCTGATTTGTGTTTTTACTTAGGCCAGGTGAGCAATGTGGCCCATGGACCTCTTGTTAGTAGTAGTAGTATATATTTGGTATCATGTCATCACACATAAACAAATACACATAATTATACATGATCTTATAAAAGATGGAAGTTGGTAATCAAGATTTTATAAATAAATAATTTAACATGACTAGATAGATACCAGGATAACCCATTAAAGCTCGAGAGCTTATTTCCAATGGGGTCCTATCTTAAATAACTTTAAAGAATAAATAACAATACATTGTAATGAGTATTCCATCATTAAAGCACTATAATACCTTTGGCACAATAATTTTAGCATACACATCTTGTTTTCCTTTTTTTAAAGTTTATATTTTCAGTGCCTGTCCCTTTTTAAAAACGATCCTACGTCACTGTATAACATGTAGTTCAGTATAACGTGAGCCTAATCGAGGAATTTGAGACTTTGAGAATTTTCAGGAGCTAATTATAGAATGGGAATCTAATATAGGCTAAGTATGATACTGAATCTAACAATACAATGATCCAAGATTTCCTGTTTATTATTGAAAAGTGTTATTTCTTTTCCTTTCTTCTATTTTTTAAATGGAGGGGATTATAATTATTTCCTCCTATTTAAGGAATCCTTTTTATTCTTACGTTATAAAGAAGGTTTTCCAGACACCTCTTCCAACAGTGCAACTGACCCAGAGCCCGAGTCTTGTTTACAAATGGTTCTGAAGGGGATACTTAATTTTTATATAAAGTATACATAAAACTTAAAGTTAAAGCTAAGTAGCATACTTTTCATTGAACAATTATTGACCTTCTACTTTTTCTATTTCAAAGCATTCTCAACATTTTCCGGAAAATTACAAATCGCGTACTCGATTTTAATTTTACTGTGATAGGCCTATTTCCCGTTTGTCCTGACAAAAGCGCGGTAAAATCAGAGAGGACTGCCGATTGGTAGTCTGTTCTTAGTAAAGATTTTGCTTTGATTTTCAAGGCATGGCAAATAAAAATATGAGAAACATTTCAAGACAATCGATTCAAAGCTTTATTATTTTTTTTTCTCCCTGAAGACAAGTCCAGTATCACCACGATCACGTTAAATCAAACTCGCAACAAAACCCTCGACCATTAAATTTGTAGTAATTGGATTTAATCAATCTATAGTTAATTTTTCATTCAAAGTTTATCAATTTTTTTACAGCATGGTATTTTTCAAACAGAAGATGAGGATTATTTTGTTGAACCCCTCTGGAATGATACAACCAGTGAGAGTGGCAAAGGACATCCACATGTGGTCTACAAGCGCTCTTCAATACAGTTTCCTAAAGATAACGTCCATTGTGGTGTCACAGGTTGTAGTTTAAAAGTTTTTCTTAAGTAATGATGGTTGGGGAAAGTGCATTTGTATTTACTTATGGCTGCTCACTATTACAGCTTGTACACTTGTTATTTTCATCTGTCTCTTCAATAAGCACACTATTGAGTCTAGATTTTGATATTATAAGATGTATGTTATTAACATTTTTCTAACGGAATATTATCATACAATTTAATATGTTTTTCGGTGTCACCTGGTCACCATAAAAACACTTGAAAAATTTATCAGCCACTTCAAACATCAAGTTGCATGAGACATCTCGACTAGCTGTTCACATCTCAACTAGCTGTGACGTCACACGATGTCACGGAGCTCCTCAGAGCTTATGGAGACAGCCGAGCGTCTGGTTGAAACTATAAAGACCTAGTGCAATTTTGGTCGAAAAACATTGCAGAGTTATTGTTTTGTTTCTTTGAAAGATTTCTACAAACTGACGTTTATGCTTTATGTTATTATTTATTTATTTAATAACGCAAAGGACATTGGGTAGTAAAGGAGTTCTGGGAATGTTTCACACAAAAATTTGCCTGATGTATGTACAGATTTCATTCCGAATTTCATCTGTTCTTACACATTAGTCTATTGATTTCGCTTCACTCGCTGTTAAATAAAAAGCAGTGTAAAGGAATAAAAATTATTGTTTCCTTTAAGCTCCTTATAAAATCTCTTGATATCTAAGGGACTGCTGTATCCACTATCATTAAATGAAACTTAAGTTGTAACTTTTACTCAGTAGTCTATAGAGGTTGCTGCACTCGTATTGCCTAATGTTAGTTTGCTCTGAAATTAAATGTAATAGAATTATGTGAAGTTCTGATTTTATTCCCTTTAAAAATGAGTTAAAAGTACAGATTTATTGTAGATATACTTAAAAACAAACCTGGACAGAGGGATAACATAGCTCCTGGTGATCCTAGGTTAATAAATTCCTGGAATAAATTGAAATTTAGGGATCGTGTTAAAAGGTCAGCGGTCAGCAGGGAGAAAAATGTGGAAACTTTAGTGGTGGCCGATCACAAAATGGTGGAATATCACGGGAAGAAAGTCATACAGTCTTATGTCCTGTCTATTATGAATATTGTGAGTACAATTGCAGTGTACAGTTATACACAATATGTTTGAAGCTCCACCTAAGTGCGCATTGCAATCGGATTTTTTTGTTCAAAATGATTATTATGATTTAATGTTGATTTTAAGATAAAAGTATTTTCATTTGAGGTCAGGTGGCCAAATTATATCATGATGCCAGCATTGGAAATGCAGTCAATATTGTTGTGAGTCGACTGATAGTGTTTGAAAAACCTCAGGTGAGAACAATACATGTACATTAATCAGGCTTTTAATGAGATATGATCTATGCATATGTACATGTTTGTCTTTATTTTATTCCCTTAACAAATATATCTTTTTTCAGCAAGTCTTGTTCATATAAAATGTCAAGAATTTTTGGTGAGGAGTTGCTATCACTTTGAACAAATGTCCTTATCACAGGTCAAGGTCAAAACACTTAAAGAATTTTGCAAATAGTAGTTGTTTATCTTCCTGATAAGTTTTTGCATCTTGCTTGATTTTTGCAGCATTTAATCCATAAGTATTTTAGATGCTTTTTATCTGCATTCATCTTCTGATTATAAATTTTTCTTTAATATTTCAGAAAAACTTGACATTGAATCATGATGCTGACCATTCTCTGGACAAGTTTTGTAAATGGCAGCACCTTTTAAATCTCTCCTCTCTAGATAATGGTGCAATGCATCATGATAATGCTATCCTACTGACAGGGTAAGAAATGATTGTTTAAAAAGTGAAGTAATATTTTTACCTGTTTCAGTGCTTGCTTTTATTATTATGCTTTCAAAACCTTGTGTCAAACTGGATGGAACCAAGAAAAAACTTTGAGATCTGAGATATGGAGAGGAAAATGCTAAAAATAAATGTTAAGGTCGACAGTTTTTCATGATACAGTACCATTGTCTGTTGAATTAAAGATTGTTGTATTTTCTCTAGGTTTGACATTTGTTCATATAAGAATGAACCTTGTGGTACTTTAGGTGAGTGTTACTTTTTAGCTCACCTGAGCCAAAGGCTCAAGTGAGCTTTTCTGATCAAAATTTGTCCGTCGTCTGTCGTCGTTGTTGTTGTCGTTGTTGTCGTCGTTGTTAACTTTTCACATTTTCATCTTCTCCTCAAGAACCACTGGGCCAATTTCAACCAAACTTGGCACAAAGTATCCTTGGGTGAAGGGAATTCAAGTTTGTTCAAATGAAGGGCCACGCCCTTTTCCAAGGGGAGATAATCATGAATTAGAGAAAAATTATTGGCATTTTTAAAAAATCTTCTTCTCAAGAACCACTGGGCCAGGAAAGATGAAACTCATGTGGAATCATCCTCAGGTAGTGTAGATTTAAGTTTGTTCAAGTCATGACCCCTGGGGGTAAGGCGGGGCCAAAATGGCCGATCAAAGTTTTGCATAGGAATATATAGGAAAAATCTTTTAAAATCTTCTTCTCAAGAACCACTGGGCCAGGAAAGATGAAACTCATGTGGAATCATCCTCAGGTAGTGTAGATTCAAGTTTGTTCAAGTCATGACCCCAGGAGGTAGGGCGGGGCCAAAATGGCCGATCAAAGTTTTACATAGGAATATATAGGAAAAATCTTTTAAAATCTTCTTGTCAAGAACCACTGGGCCTGGAAAGATGAAACTCATGTGGAATCATCCTCAGGTAGTGTAGATTTAAGTTTGTTCATGTCATGACCCCCGGGGGTAGGGCGGGGCCAAAATGGCTGATCAAAGTTTTACATAGGAATATATAGGAAAAATCTTTAAAAAATCTTCTTCTCAAGAACCATTGAAACAGGAAAGATGAAACTCATGTGAAATTATCTTCAGGTAGTGTAGATTCAAGTTTGTTCAAGTCATGACCCCGGGGTAAGGGTGTGGCAAAAATGGCCGACCACAGTTTTACATAGAAATATATAGGGAAACCTTTTTAAATCTTCTTTTCAAGTACTTCAAAGCCAGGATTAGTAATATTTTTATGAAATCATCCTCAGGTAATGTAAATTCTAGTTCATTCAAATTATGATCCCCTTGGTGGTTAAAATTCAAGACCCCCCCCCCCCCCCCCCCCACCCAGTAAGCTTTCAGTTCTGATCTGATATGTGTTTTTTCCGAGCTGATGTGCTCAGGTGAGCGCTGTGGCCTCTGGGCCTATTGTTTAATGTCATATTAAAGTTCATAAAAATCCATAACAAAGATCTGGATAAATGAAAAATTTTACAAGCATATATTATACATTTGAAAATGAGATAAATATGATTTGCCAACAAATTTCACAGAAAGAAGTTTCTTGAAAAAAAAAAAAATTAAGCCAAATGCCTCCATCACTGTATGAGATCTATTTACAGCAAAACTCGGTTATAACAAGGTCACTTGGACTTATGAAATTACTTTGCTATATCCGTAATTTGTTATAACCGTATAAGGAGTAATTTGTTATAACCGTATAAGGAATTCATTAAATTTATATAACTGGGGATCCGAAATAACTTCGCTATATCCGTGAATTCGCAATATCCATGTTCTTACTAAATGAGTTTTATTGTACATACAGGCTTGGCCCCTGTGAATGGTATGTGTGGAGGAGACAGAAGCTGTAGCATTAATGAGGATATTGGTCTAGCCTCAGCATTTACCATCGCCCATGAAATTGGACACAAGTAATTCTGTTTGTTTTCTTAAAATATATTTTTTGATTCTTAAATCTGATTTCTGATCAGTAAAAATGCACTTATACATCATGATTTTAAAGTATTGACCAAAAAAAAAAACACCAAGAAAAACATGAATTCATATACTATGTTTAAATATGTACATTGCAAATTATAAAAATTGTGATTATTTCCCAATCTTCATATATCTGAACAGCTTTGGAATGCAGCATGATGGATCTGGGAACCTGTGTGGAGTACCAGGATCTAACCTGACGGCAGGACTAATGGCAGCCCAGCTGTCTAAGGAGACCAGGCCATTTAACTGGTCCTCGTGTAGCCGTGACGCTATAACAGAGTTTATAGAGTGAGTCTGGTCATGAGGGGTCTACTTATCAAAAGGGCTCACAGACATCTGAGAATTATAATATTGCCAAATTATTTTCTTCAGCAGAAAATTAATGTGAAAACCAAATTACACTTTTTTTTGTGCCTGGATTGATAGATCGGGGGCGTATATTGTTTTTATCCTGTCTATTTATCTGTTTGTTTGTCTGTCGTAAACTTTAACCTTCGCAATAACTTATGAACTGTGAGAAATTCATATTTGGTATGCATACTCCACTAATTCAGCTCTTCCAAATTGCACCAAGGTCAATGACCTTGTGACCTTGACTGTGACCTATATGCTAAAAATAGCCTTTTTTGATCCTTTGTCATAAATTTTGAACCATAACAGATAGAGACTTCATATTTGGTATGCATACTCCACTTCCTGTTGTACCGTATAAGTAGAATTTTTAGCGAGGATTCAATTTTGGCATTATTAGCGAGGGTGCTGACATCGCTAAAATTATATGTCGCTAAAAATTAAATGCGTATTATTTGCAATAGCTTCTTTAGTTAGCATTTTGAAATCGCTAAATTTACTTCTCGCTAAAAATAAAATACCAAACCTTAGGTAGAAATCGCTAAATTTGTGTCTCGCTAAAATTTCCACTCATACGGTATGAAGTGACACCAGGTCAATGACTTTGTTAGCTTTACTGTGACCGATATGCTAAAAATAGTTTTTTAGAATTGTGTATTTTGTTCCCACAGAGTGCATAGTGTTTCATTAACTTGTTTTGTTTTATATGCACTTTTATGCTGCAAGATAAATTTGACAGGGGTATATAGTGTTTTTAGCTCACCTCAACGAAGTTGGGGGAGCTTATGTAATACCCTTGGCGTCGGCATCGGCGTCCCAGGTTAAGGTTAAGTTTTTTGGAGCAGTTTTCTTTTTAAGTACTTCTATGTCCTATATTGATTAGACATGCATGGAAGATGGTTCTAGTGTGTTTCATTGTACCAGTCAAAGTTTCAGATGCTGCAATTTCAGCAAAGGAATGACCAGGTTAATGTTTTTGGAGCAGGTTAACATTTTTGGTGCAGGTTTTTGGTGTAGGTTTCAATTCCAAGTAACTATAAGCCCTATGTTGACCAAACTTGCATGGATGATACATCTAAGGATGCATACTACCGGGCTTGCTTCAGATGCTGAATCTGACCTATATTTTCTGGTTGAGTGAATAGGTTAAAGTTTTTGGTGCAGGTTTCATTTCCAAGTAACTATAAGTCCTATGTTGACCAAACTTGCATGGATGATACATCCAAGGATGCATACTACCGGGTTTGCTTCGGATGCTGAATCTAACCTACATTTTCCGGTTGAGTGAATAGGTTAAAGTTTTTGGTGCATGATTCATTTCCAAGTAACTATTTGTTCTTTAATGACCAAACTTGCATGGATGATACATATAAGGATGCATACTACCAGGCTTGCTTCGGATGCTGAATCTGACCTACTTTTTTTGGATGAGTGAAAATATTAGTTTTTGATGCATGTTTCATTTCCAATTAACTATGAGCCCTATAATGAGCAAACTTGCATGGACGATACATCTTAGGATGCACACTAATGGACTTGCTTCGGATGCTGAATTCAACATACATTTTTCAGATAATAGACCAGGTAACTATTACCAAAAAACTATAAGGCTTATATAACATTGTATAAACCAAACTTGCACAAATGTTGCATCAAGAGATGAAAACTCTCAAATTTGCTTCAGATGCTGGATTTTGATTACATTTTCATGAAGAAGAACTAGTTTAAATTTTTTATGTAGGTCTTTTTCAAAGTATCAGATCAAAATTGCTTCAATATTTTCATTTTTGGAATGTACACTTTTTGTTGGTTAATTGTGTGACTTTGCCTTACTGAAAGACAACATTCGTTGAGGTGAGCTCTGTAATCTCTGATTACCTATGTTTAAAGTATGTCTTCAATCTTTTCATCCTTTTATTCTTCTATTTGTTCTTAACATGTTTAGCTCAGTTTCAAAGAAAGGGTTCAGCATATTAACTAGAAATATACACTGATGCATACAGGGTTCGACACTAACTCTTTTTACCTTGGTGGACCGCAGGTCCACTTGTCAAAAATTATTGGTGGACCTTCTCAATATCTGATGGACCTTTATAAATGTTTGAATTAATGTAGGAATCATTATGCAAGGCATTAATTAAAACTAACCTTTAATATATGCCGATTCCAGTCAGACTAATAAAGCTTTTATAAATCTAACCAGTCAACAGAATCAAATCAATTAGGGACTAGTCAGATATTTTTTTCAGAAATATTGTAAAACTAAATAAAAAAGGTATTCATCTACAAACCAGGGACCTATATACTAATACATGT